AAGGGTAATTATTAGTATGGAATACCCAGAGGTAAACTAAAGAAAAGTTACTAGAGTATAATCCTGTGTTGCACAATACAGTAGCTATAGCTGCATGTGGATAATTAAATTAAAATTAAGTAAAATTTAAAATTCAATTCCTCAATCACATTAGGCATATTGTAAGTGTTCAGTATTCACATATAGCTAGTAGCTACTAAACTAGACTGTGAATTAAATATTTTGATTATTGAAAAAAGTTGAACAACTCTTTTATAGGCTGTAAGATCCTGTTCAGGATACTGCTTAAGGGCCTCTTCATGTTACTTTTCAGTTATCTTCTCAGTGTCCTTTCTGTTTACAGCAAGACAGATTGAGAAACAGAAATTTAAAATGCATTATCTGCCCCTGGCCTTGTTCAGTCATGAACATCTAGAAAAACAGAAAAAAGTAAGAAGAGTATCTCCTTAAGAAGTCAATCAGGGCTGGCCTCGGTGGCTCACGCCTGTAATCCCAGCATTTTGGGAGTCCAAGGCGGGTGGATCATGAGGTCAAAAGATCGAGATCATCCTGGCCAACATGATGAAACCTTGTCTCTACTAAAAATACAAAAAAATTAGCTGGGTGTGGTGGTAGATGCCTGTAGTCCCAGCTACTCGGGAGGCTGAGGCAGGAGAATCGCTTGAACCTGAGAGGCGGAGTTTGCAGTGAGCCAAGATCGCACCACTGCATTCCAGCCTGATGACAGGATGAGACTCCATCTCAAAAAAAAAAAGAAGTCAGATGAAGAGTTCATAGAATCATAGCATCTTAGAGGTGGAAGGGACATTAAAGATCACATAGACTAACAACTCATTTTATTTATTTATTTTTAAACGGTGTTTCACTCTTGTTGCCCAGGCTGGAGTGCAATGGCATGATCATGGCTCACCACAACCTCCTGGGGACAAGTGATTCTCCTGCCTCAGCCTCCCAAGTAGCTAGGATTACAGGCATGCACCACCACACCTGGCTAATTTTGTATGTTTAGTAGAGATGGGTTTCACCATATTAGTCAGGCTAGTCTGCCCACCTCGGCCTCCCAGAATGCTGGGATTACACGCATGAGCCACCACGCCCAGCCAACACTTCATTTTATGATGAAAAGCTGGAGGTGCAAGAAAGGGAGATGATATGTCTTTCTTTCTTTCTTTCTTTCTTTTTTTTAAAGATGGGGTTTAACCCTGATGGCCAGGCTGGTCTTGAACTCCTGACCTCAGGTGATCCCCCCCACCTCGGCCTCCCAAAGTGCTAGGATTACAGGCGTGAGCCACCACGCCTGGCCTAGGGAGATGATATGTCTAAGGTCACAACAGGAGATAAATAACAGAACTGAGTCCAGAAGACAGATCTTCTGATCTACCCTGAAATGCTCTTTTCATGATATAATAGTATTATTTATTTGTTCAACAAGTATTTATTGGCCAGGCACGGTGGCTCATGCCTGTAGTCCCAGCACTTTGGGAGGCCAAAGTGGGCAGATCACTTGAGGTCAGGAGTTCGAGACCAGCCTGGCCAACATGGTGAAACCCCATCTCTACAAAAAACACAAAAAATTTAGCCTGATGTGGCAGTGCATGCCTGTAATCCCATCTACTTGAGAGGCTAAAGGATGAGAAATGCCTGAACCCAGGGTTAGCATACAGTCAAGAAGGATTTCTCTTGCTGAGTCAAACCAGGCAGGAATGCCAGTACTATAAATAATATTCCTATGATCAAACCTGTATGTGTGCGTGTGTGTGTGTGTGTGTGTGTGTGTGTGTGTGCATGTGTGTGTGTGTGTGAGAGAGAGAGAGAGAAAGAGAAAGAGAGAAAGTGAGAGAGAGAGAGAGAAAAGGGAGAAGAGGAAGTGATGTCAATAGGATGCAAACTCTGTGGGAACCTGTTTTTTCTTTGATTAATCTCCATAAATGCAGCTAGCTAGTGCTAAATGCTTACACTGTTTGTCAGGGATATATAGGTTTTTACATATATTTTTTTTCTGTCACCCAGGCTGGGGTACAGTGGCTTGAATGATCCTCCCACTGCAGCCCGCCCTCAGTAGCTAGGATGGTAGGCATATGCTACAATGCCCAGCTAATTTTTTCGGTATCTTTTGTAGAGATGGGTTTTTGCTGTGTTGCCCAGACTGGTCTCAAACTCCTGAGCATAAGCAATCTGCCCCCTTCAGCCTCCCAAAGTGCTGGGATTACAGGTATGAGCCACCACACCCAGCCTAGCATACTATTATTAACTATGAGCTCTGAATAAAACTTACCAGTGGAGATGGGCTCTGTCCACTCTGGGTGTGTTTCATCCTCAGCTCTGTGTACAAATACCAGATGTAATTGACGGTGCAGAGAAATGAAGAAATGTAGAATACCTAGGTTAAAATCAAAACAGCCTATCATAACTGTCTCACTCTGACACTGTGAAGTTCTTTCAACATATTCCATTATGGGAATCCTACCTACTAGTCTATTAGTAATGTACCACCTAGTGTCCACACCAGCCAAAACCATACCAAGTCTGAAGTTCTCTGTGTGTGTGTGTGTGTGTGTGTGTGTGTCAGAGTTTTCACTCTTGTTGCCCAGGCTGGAGTGCAGTGGTACAATCTCGGCTCACTGCAACCTTTGCCTCCTAGGTTCAAGCAATTCTCCTCCATCAGTCTCCTGAATAGCTGGAATTTCAGACATGTGCCACCATGCCTGACTAAATTTTTGGATTTTTAGTAGAGATGCGGTTTGACCATGTTGGCCAGGCTGGTCTCAAACTCCTGACCTCAGGTGATCCACCTGCCTCAGCCTTCCAAAGTGCTGGAATTACAGATGTGAGCCACTGCATCTGGCCCCAAGTCTGAAATTTTTAATAGGCCTCCCTAAAACATGCCCTGCTTCCTTATTTTCTCCTTTGGACTGTTCAGAAGAACCACAGCATTATCCACCTCTACCTCCCCAGCAGTCTCACTTTTATGAAGATATCATATAGTCTTTTTCTTTTTTATGTTTTAATTTAAAAGGAAATAAGGATTTCTATTTCTAGTAATGATAAGCTAAGCTATTTGAATCAACTTTCCATTCAAAAGAACTAAACATGCTGGATAAAATATTTTTTAAATCCTTAAAAGAACTGAAATTATATCAAGGAACTAGTGGGATAAAATCTAAGGGAAGGAATTTCTACTTCCAGCTTTGATGAGATAACAGGAAAAGAATTTACCCTCCAGCCTTAAACAACTAAAAATTGAATAAAATATGTGAAAATATCCAGTTTTCAAACAGTAGGCAACAAGCAGAAGAGAACACCAATCCCTGCAAAAAGAGAAGCAAGGTGAGTCCATCAAGGACCCCAGCTCACTGGCTGGTAAGAGTGAGTACAGAAGGGCCAGTCACGATGGCTCATGTGTAATCCTACCAAGTTGGGAGGCCGAGGTGGGCAGATCACAAGTTCAAGAGATCAAGACCATCCTGGCCAACATGGTGAAACCCCGTCTCTACCAAAAATACAAAAATTAGCTGGACGTGGTGGTATGTGCCTGCTGTCCCAGCTACTTGGGAGGCTGAGGCAGAAGAATCGCCTGAACCCAGAAGGCAGGGGTTGCAGTGAGCCAAGATCATGCCACTGCACTCCAGCCTGGTGATAGAGTGTGACTCCATCTAATAATAATAATAAAAAAAAGAGTGAGTATAGGAGGAGGAATCCAAACAGACCACTGTCTTGGTGAGTTGAGAAGATAAAATTCAGAAGGCTAAAATTTGTGAAGTACAGTATCAGGGCAGAGGAAGCTATATGGTGAGATGATGTTCAGGAAAGCTGTAGAGGTCACCCCAAGTCTTTGGTTAAGTATTAATCAGTGTATATGGGAGAGAAAACCAGAGAATCATCAGAAAGGAGTAGATGAGACAATCCCTAAAGCTCCCACAGAGCCAGGAATAGTTTGTTTTCTCATCAACCGGGTGGAAAAATACACAGGGCATAATCATAAGAAGAGTATAGCTTCTCTGGGGGCTGAGGCAAACGAATTACTTGAGACCTGGAGGTGGAGGTTGCAGTGAGCCAAGATGTTCAGCCTGGACAACAGAGTAAGACTCCATC